CAGCTGGGCCGGGCTGTGCGGGGATGGGGCTGAGCCATTGCTGCTCACGGTGCCTTGAGAGACCTCCCGGGGACGCCTGGCGTGGGGGCAGCGCGGCCTAGTGGGCAGAGCACTGAGCTGGGACTTGGCTCTGCCCAGTTAGGTGCCATGGGGCAAGTCGCTGCCAGTGCCTCAGTTTACCCAGTTGGAAAACGGGGACAATGAGAGTGACCCCGGCGGGGCTCCGAGGCTGAACACGCAGCTTGAAACGAGGGCAGGAGCGTTTAGTTGTCAGGGTGATTGTCTCACAGACCAGCCAGGGATGCGCCCGAATCAGCATCTCGGGGTGTTTTGAAGGGAAGACTGTTCGTTACTTGGAGTAATGTGCCCAGCACAAATGATGGTCAGTACGGGGTGAGCTGGGACCTGCAGATCAGACTCGTTACTCTAATGATCCAATTCTGGTCTTACATCTAGTGAATCTGTAGTCCAGAGTCAGAAACAGAGATGGGGGGGCATAACCAAAACTCTTTAGGGAGTCAGCCTAGACAGGGTGGCTGACACTGGCCAGGTGACAAAGAAAAATGCTTTCCTCAATATTTGGGGGTCTGCTGCTTTCTGTGAGTACAATTAGTGGACATGGGACAGGAAAATATCATGAGGGCAATGTGGGATAAACCTTTAGTTCCTCCTCATCTGACTCCTTACATTTGAACAATCAGTGCCTTGAGTTAAAGGCCACTTTGCTATACAGGCAGTCCCCGGGTTACGTACAAGATAGGGACTGTAGGTTTGTTCTTAAGTTGAATCTGTATGTAAGTCAGAACTGGCGTCAAGATTCACCCACTGTTGAAACTGATCAGCTTCAGCAGCGGCCGACTTTAGTTCCTCCTCATCTGACTCCTTACATTTGAACAATCAGTGCCTTGAGTTAAAGGCCACTTTGCTATACAGGCAGTCCCCGGGTTACGTACAAGATAGGGACTGTAGGTTTGTTCTTAAGTTGAATCTGTATGTAAGTCAGAACTGGCGTCAAGATTCACCCACTGTTGAAACTGATCAGCTTCAGCAGCGGCCGAATCTGGACGCCAGTTCCGACTTACATACAGATTCAACTTAAGAACAAACCTACAGTCCCTATCTTGTACGTAACCCGGGGACTGCCTGTAGCTTATTTCAAAAATTGGCACTGTCTACACAGCACTTATTTCAAGATTGGGGTGCTGCCGGGTTGGTCCAGTAGCGCCCAGAGCGGCGCTACGGGACCAACCGGCAGCGCCCCAGCTGCTGTACCACAGGCGTCCGGAGCAAAGCCGCAGAGCCCGGGGGCAGCGGGACAGCCCAGACACGCCGTGGCTGTCCTGCTGCCCTTGGGCTCCTTGGCTTTGCTCTGCTTTGCTCCCCGTCTCCCTGGTCTGCAGACCAGGGGGACGGGGAGCAAAGCGGCGGAACACGTGGGCAGCGGACAGCCTCCGCCGCTTTGCTTCCTCTTCCTGGTCTGCTGGAGACCAGGGAGACAGGCCCCGTTCGTAACTGCGGATCCGACATAAGTCGGATCCGCGTAACTAGGGGACTGCCTGTATAGTTCTCCAGCCTTTAGGAAAAAAGGAAAACAGTGTGATGCTGGTTTGACCAAACAAAAAAAATTACCTAGATGACTGCTAATTTCAGAGGTTGATTTCATCACTCAGTTAACAGATTTCTTTAACAATTTTTTGAGTAAGAAATTCTTAAGGAACAGAGTCTAATTTCTTGCCTCATAATTTATATTACAGATTTTGTTGAACTTAACATATTGTTTCAAGCTGTGAATATATATTTTGAAAGATTTCCTTGACTATACTGTTAGGCACTGTAGCAGTTATTACTTCTGATGGAAGAATGATTGTGGTGAGTATAAATTAGTACTATGCAAATAGTGTTGCTTGGAGTATGTGAGTTTTTAGAAAACAGAACATTCAACTTCTAATGGCAGATGCTACAAACAAATAAAGCTTGGAAACAGCTCATCTTGAACATTTCTCATCTTTCATACAGAACCTAAGTAATTTTTTTTATAAAAAGAGACATCACTTTTAAAAGTCTGTCAGTTTAAAACAAACAAGGAAAACTACAGCAGAAATGGTGAAACTGGCTATTTATAAGGGGCTCTCTACTGCACAAAGTATGCTTGAAAAAAGTGACTCATATTCAAGTTACACTAATCTTAACTCCTTGCTACTTGTAATACATGATAGTAAATAATTGTCTTAAACTGACTCTGTTTTCAAGTTCCAGTCTCTAACAGAGTATGTGTTTATTCAGCTTTAAAACTCAGAATAAAATCTGTTAACTCTTCTATAATATACTGCTACCTGGGATATGCTTGTGACCTAAAATGAGAAACTTAAAGATAATTGGAATTCAAAATTTTTGTGCACTTTTTAGGGAACCCTCAAAGGTTTTGATCAGACCATCAACTTGATTTTGGATGAAAGCCATGAACGGGTGTTCAGTTCTTCACAAGGAGTTGAACAAGTAGTATTGGGACTGTATATTGTTAGAGGAGATAATGTGTAAGTACAGCTGCTGCTTTTTTCTAAACCAGTCAAATCACAATTAATGTTATAAATTAAAGCTGTAGTGATGCAAGATGTCAGGTTGATAGCCCTAGAAACCCTAAATTATTTTTACTCACATGTTCAGAACATACGGTAACAGCAAACCTGCCTTGGCCTTTGATGTAGTAGGCAAACATCTCTAGAATGACTAAAATAGTTGTCTCCAGTTTTTGGGGCCCCTTACTGAAATGGTCAAGAAGTGTCTCAGTATTAGTGTGGATGAGGATGTACACACTTATGTCTAGAAAATGAGGAAGACATTTTACAGAGATATAGAGAAAGTAAATAAGAAAAAGTTATTTACTCTCTGCAATGACACAAGAACTAGGGGTCACCAAATGAAATTAATAAGGAGCGGGTTTAAAACAAACAAAAGGAAGGGTAGTTCCACCACCAGCTCTGTCTCCTGTCTGGGCTCATACAGCTGCAGTGGTGGCAGGGCTGGGAGGAGCTGCTGGTGCAGGGGAGTGGCTCCTGAGAGGGGTGGCATCACATTTGTCTCCTTTGGTCACAGCATCTTTTGTGAGCATGTCTCTTCAGATCAGTGGATATCAATGTCTATCTCTGGTTAGACATTTATATTCACACAGGGCTCTATGTGATGCTCCCAGAAGAGGCCAACAAACTCCTGTGGCCCCAGAAGTGAGAGGGCAGAGGGCACGTCGCTCTGCATGCTGGCATCGTCCCTGCTAATTCCCATTGGCCACAGTGTCCCACTCTTGGCCAATAGAAGCTGCAGGGGGTAGTGCTTGCAGGCAGGAGCAACTCACCACGACTTCTACTCCCATATTCCTTCTCATTAACACATACAGGGCCTTGCTCCTGGGAATGGGCCAGCAGGTAGGGCAAGGTAGACAGGGAGCCTGCCAAGTCCAGTCACAATCCACTAGGAGACTCCCCATGATTGAGCAGTTGATCACGATTGACCACTGCTATAGAGTCATTCTTATTCTCTCCTTGGCCCAGTGAATATACATTATTATGCATGATGATAATGAAGTCATTGGCCCAGGGAAAACAAATTAAAATAAGGCCACAGTCTTGCAGTTAGGACATTTTCCTAGATTAAGAGTCCCACCCAAATTAAAATACCTGCTCCAGGGATAATTTCTACTAATAGGCTTTGTCTACACTGCAGGGTTTTTGCGCAAGAAGCTTTGTGCACTTCTTGCACAAAAGTGTGTCCAAACCTCAAAGCACATCACTTTTGCATCCACACTGCATGGACACTCTTGCACAAGAAAGCTCTGATGATCATTCTGTGAATCAGAGCACCTGTGCTTTTTCCAATTGGGGTTTCTTGCGCAAAAACCCCTTCAGAGTGTCCACACCTGCCTTTTTGTGCAAGCAGCACACTGTAGCGCAAAAAGGAGTTATTCCTCATGGGGAGAGAAATAACTCTACCGACAAAAGCCCTCTGTTCTGTCAATTTCTTGTGCAAAAATGTGCTTGAGGTGTGCACGCTCCGCCAGTTTTTTTGCAAAAACCCTGTAGTGTAGATATAGCCAGAGTGCTTAATCTTTTTTTTCTTTCTTGTAGCGCGGTTATTGGTGAAATTGATGAAGAGACAGATTCAGCACTTGACTTGGGGAATATTCGAGCAGAACCTTTGAACTCAGTAGCACACTGAAAAGGAGAAACACAAGGACTTTGTAAACTTTGGCTGTATAGAATTATTTAAAAAAACAGCATGAAGAATTTTTACAAATTGTTGTAAGTTGTTTGGGACACACTTTATTATGTGAATGTTATACTTTGATATGTAAATTAAAATATCTGCATTTTAATTAAGTCTCTTACATAATTTTACTACAAAGTATACATACAGGAGGCATTAGCATTTAGAATCATTTGACACTTCATATGTAAATGACTCTTAAATGGTACTTGTGAAGTAGAAACATAAATCGCTACTGTTGAGGGTGAAGTGTGCTTTGTTATGATTTGTAAATTACACAGCATATATACACAAATCAGTTTAACCTCTGCCAATAAGTAGGTTTTTTTAATGTGTGATATTTCAGTATTATGAATAGTGATGTGTGTTGGACAAACAGTTCAGATTTGAGTGCAGGAGTGAAAGTTTAATAGTAGGATCCTTGTATATTATCCTATATATGGAAGTTTCGTGATGCATGTTTCTAAAGTACTGGAAACTTGCCTTTATCAACTTCATGAGACTGTTGCACTCTTCTAGTAATTCCAAAACAGCTGATTTTTTTTCTTAAATCATTCTAGCAATCACATCAATTCACAAATGCCATAGCACTCATAACTTCAGTATACTTCTGAGGGATTTGAATATCACTTTGCAAAATAAACATACCTTTTTATCACGAGGCTACTATAATATCTATTCACTGTGAACAGGAGACCTTAATCTGAGTTATCAGATGGAAGGAAGACTTAATTCTATGACAAAAATAACCATCCCTTTTGCACCTTAAACTCTGGGGAAAACCTGAATCAAGAGAATGAATCGTTTGCTAATGTGTAACTTTTTTATGAAGCCTTAGTTTTTTACTTATTGTTGGCACAGGTTAATGTTAGAGTAGAACAATTTGTTCATTTTTCTCTAAAGTGAAGCATTGGGCTATTTTAAATAATGAGGAACTCTAGCCGTGCACTGCAAAATAGCTTGTCAAGCTTAACAGTGCCCTTTTCTAAGTGAAAAAATATTAAAATACAGGTTTCACCTAGAGAGATCATTAACATTGGAGATAAAGGTTGCAGTAATTACTATACAAAAACAGAGTCCTTACACATTTAAATGTGCAATGTACAGAAAATAGACATAGCTACACACATTGGTCAGGTAAAACTGACTCTCCAGAGCTGTATTAAAAATAGTTTCTAATTCTGAAGATTTATTCATCTAATTGCTCAAATCTAGATTAGCTTGATCTGTACTGTGGGATTAGTACAAGGAGAGGAGCTAACTGCACCTCTGACTCTGCTTCCAGTCTCACTGAATACACACGTCTCTTGTTTGGTGGTAGGCCTCTTGCCTGCACCTCTCCTGGTGTGGAATCCCATAATTCCTCCACTCTGACTGCATCTCAGCTAAGTCCCTTGGATGATAACAGTGATGGCTCAACAAACCTGACCGTTTGACAGCCTGCAAGTCTTCCCTTTGGGAGCCATGACTAGTAGTTAATACAGTCTAACCTGTTCAGCACAGGCCATAGAACTCACCCCAAATAATTCCTAGAGCAGATCTTTTAGCCCTGGTCTACACCAGGGAGTTATTTTGAAATAACCCCCCCTTATATCAAACTAAGTGGAGTGTCCACACTACCAAGCCTGGTTTATTTCAAAATCTTTACTCCTGCTTTCCTTGGGGAATAACACTAATTTTGAAATTATTTCAAAAGTGTTAGTATGGACACTCAACTGCTGCTAATTCAAAATAATTGGCCTCTAGAGACTGCTCACAGCTGTAGTTCTGACTGCTCTGGCCACACCTGGCATCTGCAATGCTCCCCTTGTCCCGTGGAGCTTAAAACTCCTGGCAGCAGGAGAAGGGCTTGTCCCACAAGGTGAGCTTTGCAAGCCCTGCATGACACAGCAGCATCCAAGGGAGGTATGAGTGACCCAAGCACTCCATCAGAGCCTCCTACGGCTGCATGCACTCCTGCTGCTACCTCAGCATTAGGCTCCAGAAGGGCATGGTTGCAGGTGAGACCAGCCAGACGTTCATGCCTGCCAGCCAGGACCTGCTCCTCATCCTGGAGCCAGTCTTCCCTTACATGTGCCTTCTAGGCTTTGGAAGAATCCAGAGAAGGCAATTCAGGTGAGTTATATAACTTTTCCTATATACACACGGGGCGGGTGACAGACTGCGAGGGGATGCATGTTCCTTGCTTGTCCTACTTGGCTTGAGGGGGGTCACACAATGGTCTGTGCACGTGGAGCACCAGTCCAGAGTGCACAGCCTCATGATGCTTTCACACAGGAACCCCTCAGTCCTTCTCCCAAGATTCCTGGAGAGGCCTGCCTTACTCTGTCCTCGGTTGTGGGGACCTTCCCACAACAAGACACCACTAAGGAGTCTGGGGTCATGGAGCCGTGCTCCACACGGCACAAGGTCATGCCTGCCCTCTCAGGCAGCATTTGCTTCCAGTCGAGTGCAGCGATGTGGAGGAGACTGATCCCATGCATGAGAACCTGCTCGGGGAGAAAGAGGAGGGGAACCCATTAGTGCTCTCTCCAACAAGTGGCATCTGCCATTCACACACACCTCCCCCAACAACGCCCCCTCTTCCAACGGGCAGGGATAGAAGCTTTCTCTCTCCAGGACACTGCCAGTGCTGGACCTGGCATGTGTGGGACACAGTAGGAAGCTAAATCACCCTATCTCCCCTTCCTACCCATGCCTGTTTGTCCCCAGGATGTGGGGGTAGTGATGCTCCCCTGGAATTTCTGTGCTTCTGCAGGAAAGTGCCTACTGTCTAGGCAACCTATGGTCTTGCTTGAAGCACATCAGTGTTGGCTCAGATTAGGGCTAGGCTTCATACACAGTAGCTCCTAGGATGACTGCTCTTGTAACTTTTCTTCACAGCTGGGTCAGCTGCAAGCTTGGCACATCCCCCACCTCCCATGCCATCTGCACAACTCCGTGGGCTCTGCAGCAAGAGAAGAACCCACGAGGACCTGATGCGGGAGCAGATGGTCTGCCTGCTGTCCCTTGTCTAGGACCAGGAGCAGAGGAAGACCTCCTGGGACTAGCTGGTGCACCAGCACGAGGCCGTGTGCTCCTTCCTCATCTCGATGAGGGAGCACAAGGCCTGGTGCATGGAGTGAGCCACCAGCCACCTCCCCACTCCACCCATTACTTCCTTCCTAATCCCCTCAGGGACCACTGGGGCTCCACAATACATGGCAGTGGGACCTCTCAGGCATCCAAATCCTCCTGACCAACTAGAGACAGGCACCAGCCTCATCCCTAAGCCCCGCTCCTCCCCTCACCCCCGCCATTTCAGGTTCTTTCCCCAGTCTCTCCCCTGTTGTATGTCCCACCAATAAACAGTCCTGTTCTTTCAAGAAACATGGCTTTGTTTTTCGCTTTTCAGGGTGGGGGGGAGGGGGGAGAAGGTGGAAAGGGAGGGAAAGGCACACACAGGGAATGCAGGGGCCCCTTGTGGAGAGGTACAGGGGAAGAGTCACACAGCTGGCCTTGGATGAAATTCTTCCTCAAGGCCTCCCTGATGAGCACAGCCCCTTGATGTGCTCTCCTGTTGGCTCTGGTGTCCGAATGCTTGAATGCCATGGCCAGCCATTCAGCCTCAGCCCCGCAACCTGGCAGAAAAGTCTCCCCTGCCCTTGCTCTCTCTCAGCTTGTGGAGCACATAGCAGGCCACCAACATGAAGGGGTTGTGGCTCTGAGGTCCAGATGGCTGAAGAAACTCCTAAACCACCCCTTTAAATGACTGAATGCACACGCCACCACCATACGGCACCTGCTCAGCCTGGCATTGAAGTGCTCCTTGGTAGGATCTAGGCTGCCTACGTAGGACTTCATGAGCTGGGGAGCAAGGTGTAAGGTGCATCACCTCCCTGACTCTGATGGTGCAGTCAGGGGGAAAAGTGCTGACATGCATCTTTTGGAACAAGCAGGAGTTCTGGAAGTTGCTGGTGTCGTGCGCCTTCCCTGACCCTCTGATGCTAATATTGGTGAAGCATCCCTTGTAATCCATGAGGGCCTGCATTACCATCGAGTAGTACCCAGTCCTGTTTATGTAGTCCAAGACATTGTGGTCAAGGGCTAAGATGGGGATGTGAGTGCTATCTAGGCCCCCCCTGCAGTTGGGGAAGTCCATGGCAGCAAAGCCATCGACGATGGTGTCCATGTTTCCCAGACTGATGACCCTCTGTAACAGCACCTGGTTGATGGCCTTGGCTACCTGCAGGAGCATGGCCCCCACTGGATTTCCCCATGCTGAACTGGTTCCCGATGGAGTAGTAGTTGTCTGGTGTGTTAAGCTTCCACAGGGTGATGGCGATGCGCTTCTGCACAGGGATGGCAGGTGTCATGTGGGTGCCCTGTCACCTGAGTGCAGGGGTGAGCCACTCAGCTTGAGGAAGGTGGCTTTCCACATGCAGAAGTTCTGTGTCCACTCCTGGTCATCCCATTGCTGCAGGACAATGCGGTCCCACCAGTCCACACTGGTCTCCCTCTGCCAGAAGCGGCAGTCCATGGTGTTCAGGGGATTGAGGAGCACCAAGACCTGAGTGAGCAGGGCTGTTGTCCAAGCTGGTCCTTGTCCTGCTGGAGCAGCATGTGGGCAGTCTGGATGAATTGCGCCATGAGACACAGCATGAGCATGGTACTGCTCTGCAGCAGCTCTGGCTCCATGCTGTGAGTGCTGTGTCATCCGCAAGGGCAACCAAAGCACATCGTGCTCCTTTTGTGTCCCACAAGGGGATGCAGTGGAGAGGTGGCATGTGAGATGTGGCCGTAGAGAGGAATCCCTGAAAGTATGCGCACAGCTTGCCTGACCAAGCAGCTGCAAGAAGTGTCCGCCCTCTTGCTGCCCTACCCAGAGTGCTTCCGGGGGGTTCTAACTCTGAGGCAGGCTCCAATCAATGTGGATATGTTATTTTGAAATAATTCTGACTAATTTCAATGCTTCCCCATGGTTGGGAATTGCAGTTTTGTTATTTCAGGAATTATTATTTTGATTTACTTATTGCAAAATAATTTCCTAGTGTAAACATGCCCTTAGAAACACATCCTATTTTGATTTAAAAATTGTTAGTGATGGAGAATCCATCACTGCCATTGGTA